AATACATTTTAAAAGTAACCTTCCCAACACTGTAGGTAAGGTATGCTCTGGACATGTCGCCGGTTTCACAAGGCTTAGACCAAGAAGCATTATTCACGCTCACTTAACCTAACATGCATGTCTTAGGACTATGGGAAGAGGGAGAACCCACACAGGCACAAGGAGAGAACATAGAAACTCGCTAGCCAGCCAGTGGGTTTGAAGCAAGAACCATCTTGCTGTGAAGCAAAGGTACTAAACCAGTGCAACCCATGTCACTTCTATCTTGTATCTTGTTTGGATTTGGTATGGTTAAAAAAGTAAACACGATCCCACCTCTTTGTATTGATGTGCTCGTTTTCACCAAGACATACTGTAATACATGCAAAATAATTGACGCTACACGTCTTCGAAAACAGAGCAGAAGATTACTGATTGAAAAGAGAACATAACTAGGGTGGGTTTTAATTACAGTCATCACGTTTATAGTGCACGGGATTAATGATATCTTGGCTGTGACTAATTGAGCCTTTTTTGGCCTGAACATGTGATGAAGACAATAGCTTCAATTCTCCTCACAAAGCAGCAACCAGTTGACTGTCTGATGGCTTGGGCTTTGAGCAGACCTGTCTGACACAGACATCAATGAGGTCGGTCTTCTGAGGCTAAGCACAGGCATAATAATTAATCTTCTTTGACATCATCATCCTCAGAGTCACCTAGCAACTGTCCACCTGCATTAACAAGAGCACAATAGAGGCCTGTCATGGACTGCCTGAAGTGGGGGTGTTCAGTGGTTGCAATCCAAATGCCTCCATGTAGGAACAGTAGGAATGTACCGGAGGCTAAAATAACATGATCAACACTTGCTTTTTTGGTTGTTGTTTTTTTTAAACTTGTCAAACAGCATTTTATAGATTGTTGGATTGGAAACGTAATAGAATTTCAAAATATATTTGGGGCAGGCTTTTTCAAGACACACATTAATTAACACATCTCTGGTGAGATTTTGATGTTAGCTCAAATTGTTTGCATCTTAATTATCACTGTGGGTCTGAACCTCACACTCATTTATTTATATTACACCATAAGTGAGAATAAAAAGGGAAAGAAGCATGAATATTCATTCACCTGTTCTTCTTTTATGTGTTCTACACCTCTTCTATCTTTTTTTAGTCCCGTACCACTGCACAGCAATTATTTTTAGCGGGAGAAATGGAGGAAGAGGTGAGAAGGTTACAATCATTTATTTGTTTTCGGCCTTGTGTAAGCAAATCCATCTTCTCGAAAGAAAATTAAAGTGAAGGCAGGATTTAAATAACTTTCATTAAATGTTGATGGGCTCGATTAGCTCAACCAAACACCTAACTAGATAAAGACACCAGTAATGTCAACATTTTTTAAAGTAGTCTACACACTAAAAAGACAAAAGTGTGTGCACCCAGGAACTTACACATATACTCAGATGCCAAAAAGTCAGCTTGTATGACAGCATAGTCCAACCAGTATTTTTCCGCCTCAGTAACAGGTATGATTAAGTTCTCAAATGAAAAATGCTGCATTTTTAGTTTCCATATTATGAACCGCTACTTGCTGTCTCTCTCTGTCTCTCTCCCACACACACAGATTTAAGCCTAACAGCAGTCATCTGCAGTAGAAAAGAGACCAAGCCGCCTATCAGTCGATGACTGGAAATTGCAAATGGCAGCGTGTTCAGGTAAAATACTGTGAGTGAGTTCCTCAACGTGTTTACTCCTGGAAAATTGGGGAATAACAGGCTGTCATATGGTGACACATCAGCCTTTGTTAAAGAAATTACTTTGCTCTTCGCCCAGCTCTCTGATGCTCGGCCTCCTGGACAAATTGTCCATTTGGCGAGTGCAGACTAAATGGAACTGCGTCTTCGGCATGCCGCTCTACCGAAGCACAAAGAACCCGGGGCAGATAGGAATCCAATTATCCAAAGCAAATAATGGATGTCTCATTTAAGATGTGCAGCAGTTGCGACAGTAATGGCAATGCCACAATTTTCCTGAAGCCAGCCTCTATCAATTGCATCATCTGCTGTTTAACACTAAGTCATCTACAGCCATACAGCCGACTACAAGCTGTCAAACGTCACGTAACATAATAAATCTTTTCATGGCACGGGAAACATGGTCTCAAAGATGGAGTGTTTACTCACATGGTGCTTAGGTGCGGGTTCTGAGCAAACGCTCGAGGCTGGATAGACTTCAGGTTACAATTCATGATAGTTCTGAAATGAAAAGAGATCAAATACAGATCAGACTGTGTGGAAACCTGCGAAAAAAGACATTTGTTTTTTCCTAGTATGCTCACATGCAACTGTATGCAGTCCATTTCAAGTCATTTTGCATGTTTTATTACCACAGCGGTGCACTGTAACAAGAAGGGTTCTAGCTTTTCCAGTTTTTCATATTTAAACATTTATCTGTATTCTGGCACACCCCGCAGAGCTGACAGCCAAGTGAAAATTCACTTTGATGCGCCATTTGATGAAAGATTTGTGAACTTGTGTGTCTTTACTTTGAAATGACTGAAACTTCTGGTTAGAACATGCATTCCCTCCTTGTGTTAACAGTCAAATTAAACTAATACTCATTTTGCTGCGGACCCAGTGGATTCTTCACGACGACTCCAAGAATTCCCAGCGTCCCAGTTTGGAAACCACTGTTCTGGGCTACAATGGTAATGACTTCTAATCTTGTAATCACAGATGTCTCTTTCCAAAGACGTCACTGACGTCTTCAGTGAGCGCCTCATAACGCTGTGTGCTGATTACAACCAGCTGTTGGCGCCAATTACCTTCTACAAGCTTGATCGTGCCTCTGTGGTGTTTGGCGAGGATGCGGTGATTCATTGCCCACAAGTTCCCAAAGAGGGGGCTCTGGGACCTCAGAGGGTCCTTCGAAGAGTTTAGGGGAATTCCTTACAAATAGATTCCCTCACAAAAAATGAACAGCAATATTTCGACTTCTATTTCATATCCATTAAATCAGCACAACCATATACACAGATGACTGTACTGCTTTTGCTTTTGTCCTCCCAGCAGTAATGACTGCAGCAAAGGCATTTATACTCAACACAATTATCTCCTTAAACAGCAGTGAATTAAATGGAGACATTACAGGTGAATGGGGTAAACATTCACCTAATGGATATCACCAGGAAACTTCCCCAGTCGATTGCTTAGGTGAAAATGATGTTTTGTATTAGATTCTTTTCTGAATGTATTTATGTTTAAATATGCAAACAAGATATTATCTGAAACTGATTGCATATTTTTTGCAGAATGGAAATCTGTAAATGAGATAAAGTTTGATCTAAAGGTTTCTACAAAGTAAATTTTGGGGAGTCACTATCAAAAGGCAGAAAAAGCAGATTTTCACCATGTAATCTGGAAAGCTGGGTTTGCACCTGTGTCACTCAAGTGGTGATTTGTGGCTCAAAGTATGAAGAAAAGATCGAAAATTATGGAACACAAAAGATTTCACATATTTTTAAGGGGAAAAACCCACAATTTTCCAGCGAATTTTTCACCAAAGATATAGTAAATGGACTGGCACTCGTATAGCACTTCTCTACTCTCACTGAGCACTCAGAGTACTTTTTACTACGAGCCACATTCACCTGTTCAGTGCTTCATTCTATGCCTTTGAGTAGTGAATGTGGATGGGAAGAAAAACTCCAAAGTAACCAGTGTATAAAAAGCATGTGTGTCCCCTTAACGTTGGCTAGATTTGAAATTTTCAGCTTTCAGCACACTAAAACATTTCATTACATGAAAAATAATGCCGCAGGATCATTTTTGTTTTCATTAATTATATATATATATATTTTTTTATCACTTAATTTAATAAAACCAAACTAAATGAAAGGCAGTAAGAGCTGACCAAAACATTTAACCTATATGGGCAAGAGTACTGGACCACCTCGACATTACACCAGCAGAAGCTGCTCAGCCAAAGAAACCTATACCATGAAGTTCTCAGCACACACATTTTTTTGCTGATGTTTATGGCAGAGGTGGTCTGTAAGTACAGTGTTAGTTACTTTTTCACACTATTCACTTCAGTAAACAGCAACCCCATTGTGTAACTTTATGTGGCTTTGTGGCTTAGTTAGGTGTTTCCTAAATGCATCCACTTTACAAAATTACCACTTACAACCTATTGTGTAATAGGGGAAGACATTTCACAAACAGACTTGGTGCAATGATGGCATTACAGTACTACGCTTGAATTCATTAAGCTCTTTAGAATGATCCATTCTTTCACAAAGCCTTAAGCAGACTGCATAGCTAAGTGCTGGATTTTGTGTACTTGTGGCAATGGGACTGATGTCACCTGAATTAAAAAATTAAAAGGCATGCTATTTTCCATGAAGTGTATAAATTATAGGTGCTTTAAACCTAGCTTGAACATGTAACTGTCAGCACTGCTACCTTTGTGACATTTATGAGGCAGCTGGAAATCTACTGTAAGGTGTAGATGCCTGTGGAAGATGCAAAGTAACAACTGCATTTGCAGAGTCTGGTAAATGCAGTAAACATTACACCAGTGCTGTTTTTATCATATTTGCTACATTGCAGAATAATCCGGATTATACTGAGGCTAACACTAAATAATGAAAAAGTGCAAACAAAGTAAAGCTTGGTTTATTTTTCAGATTCTTCCTGATTCTTTTCAGATTCTACTGACAGCATCTTAACCAGCATCATTAACTCATCACCTGAAATGATTTTCAATATAAAGCGAGTCTTGTTAAAAGTTAAATGGTGAAGTTTCTTCAGTTTATGGTGTGCTGACAATGTGTCGGCATACAGCCAATAACTGCATTCAGACACTTTAGTAATCCATACTACACCCAACAACTGAACTTAGTGAAAGCAAACAGACTATTATTATGTAATGTCAATGTAGTTTCTTAAAGCACAACCTCAAAACCTATGGCAGGATCAGTGGATTCATCCATTCATTTTCTTAACTGCTTATCCACATGGAGGGGCAACAGTTTAGTTTTCATGGGGTGAGGAGTCGGCTACACCCTGGACAGGTTGCCACCTCATAATCAATAAATTCCATTAGTGCTTCCGGTAGCAAAGCAGATCATCTGTTGGAAAGAGACAGCCTAAATACGGCATTCATCACGTCGTGTTCAAACTGCTGTGAAGAAATCACTAGTCAGGTGGGACCAAGAAAAAGATTAAAAAGTCCATCTGAAATCTTTGCTTTGGTCTGATGAGTCCAAATTTAAGACTTTTAGGTCAAAACCATCAGGTCCTTCCCACCATGAAGCATAGGAGCTCAACTGAGATAGTCTGAGGTGAGGTGGACTGCAGATTAAAAAGCAGCCAACAACGGATTTGCATATGTGGGCAGAAAAATAACGCAGGTGATGAGCTCACGAGGCTGGTTAACAAAATGAAAAGTTGGCAGAAGGCTTCTATGGAGTATTTTGATGTCAGCCTTTCAAAAAGTTCACCCACTCAGCTGCACTAAATATAAAATTACATTATTTGGATAATATTCTGCCCTCACAACATTTAATAACACTTAAAAACATAACTGCTGCAGTGGTGAGTGAATTGTTTCGAACGAATCCTCAACATAAAACAGCAGAAAGATTACGTTAAAATCCACAATACTTGTTTTTCCTTTGTATGATATTCGTTGTACCTGTAAGATAAGCTTGTTTCTTTGAAATATGGTGTGCATTGGTTTGATAGGGACATTTTGTACAGTGCGTGCAAAATGAATAGCACTCATTTGTTAATGCTGCTTTCATTTTGAAGACCACTTTGGGTTTGTTAGTGAATAGTCAGGAATCTATAAAAATTTTTGTTTGTTCCGGCAGGAAATTAGCTCCATATGCGAGAAGTACTTGCTAAAAGCTACAGTTCCTGCTGTTTCAGAAATGATTGAATAATGAATGTCAAAAGCCTTATAAAGTAAATGAATCCAATCAATTACATGAAACTACAGTGTTCACTGTGCTACAACAAAACTCATTTCAGTTATTTTATTCTACTCTGTAGTCTACTTTTAGTTTGTTTATAGGTAAGTAAATGTAAGAATATAAATGTATATATATTGAATATAACTGTGCTGAGGAATACAAGCAGCTTCATGTGCTTTAGAGAAGTTTTTTTTTTTTCATTTTATTCAAATAAAGATGGTGATGATGAGGTCACATGCAAAATACGATGATGGAAGGTATGCCATAGTGACTTTTTCCCTTCTTATCCCGCACACCATTAACAGCCCCTTAAGGCAGCATCGCGACAGCGTTCCCTGTGAAGACTTAACTCCAGGTGGGGAGGAGCCAGTGTCCCTAGACAAGGCAGCAGGAGAGAAGCAGTGGTAATGAGAAAAATGCTAATTTAGCCGTGGAGATATTCCACTTGGCCTCCCTGATAAGGGATCAAGGGGATCAGGGGAGAGGCCAGCTCTGACTTTGGAGGGCAAAGGAGAATGCGATTCTCTGTAGAGTGGGGAAAAAATGAAGAGCAATAGGAGGCTGGGGAGTGGAAGAGGTGAGAGAAATTAAAGGATGTGGCCTCATAGTGCATGGTTGCAAAGCAGGAAAAGAGCGTAGCATTGCTTTAATATGTGAAGAGATGAGAATAAAAAAAAAACCCCACAATGCTACAGCAGGGACTCCTAATTCAATTTTCCCTGCTGCTTTTTAGCATTATTTGATCAGTGGCTAAGCAAAGCGAAGGGGATGTTCCACCAGCGTGTGACTGTCAAGAATTAAAAGCTTGTTTAAACATCTGCTAGTGTTAGGATCAGGAAGACACCCCTCACCCATGCTTCTCTCTAACACTCTGCCCCCAAAGAGGTATGTGACATTTAATCCAGATGCTGCAACTTGGGATCTGAGGTGAATTACTGCACTGATCGCTAGGAGGAAACCGCGGCCTCTCTGCAGTAGCAGGCGGGCAACCTGATGGAAAACAGGGATTAACAGTGGTGCAGTTTCTACTGTGCTTTTCCAGATCTGCAACACAGCAGGACTAAAATACATTGAAGTGTCTCTCACCCCACTGTCACAACCACCACCACTACAGATAACAGCATCAACACTCACAGCTTCTGTAGTCCAGTGTAGAGCTCCATATCGACGTCTCTCAGAGTCTGCAATCCTGTCCAGTTCTCTATATGTCTGTAAACAGTGAGAAAGAGAATTGTAAATGAGACATTCCGGTTCATCCCAGAAGAAAGGAAAAACAAACCAGGACACATGACAGAAGCAAACTCTTTTTTTATAGTCCCAAGATGCAAATTAACAAGCTGTGTATTGTCAAAAGTTTTCTGAATCCATATTCATTTAAACTGCAATTATTGGAACAGTTCTGACAGAGCGCTCTCTGCTGCCCTCTGATAGATTTAATTGCCAGGAGGCAGCTTCTGAACCTTAATCTCTGTGAGGGGAAGTGTGAGGGGGACACAGCAAATAAACACAGCAGATGACTTTACTTCTGCTAATACTATCACAGTCCCAGGGGATGTCTATGTGGCGGGATAAAAGGAGAAGCTGGTGGCTTTAAATTAGCTTCAGGAAAAAAAAAACAGCATTTATAAATGATTTGTTTGTTAGGGTTTCAATTGAGCTGGGGGAAATGAGGAGATGAAGGAGAGGACATGGCAAAGGTTTTATTGCTTTGTGTCAGAGTAAAGAAAATAAGATTGGAAGCTCATGGGAACTTTGGTTAATGTCACAGATTTGAAATTTGACATTTAAGCTAAAGAAGTGGTGAAAATATGACAACTGGCTTGAGCTACGTCCGTATACAGTTCAGACACATGGAGTCGTGTTAAAAAACACAAATCCATTAGCATTGAAGCACAACACAATCATGCAGTCTAAGCCCAATAGTTGTGTGCTCACATAGCAGCTTGTATTTTATGACAACAGCAGGAAAATAACATTCCTGCAATTGTTTTTTGGCAAAACCTGAGCTTCAGTATATCTTGTGGGTCTTGTGCATCTGGTGTACAATTATGATGCAGCATCTAAGACATTCTGTTTATTTGAGCCCTGTGCTCCGGGGTGCACCACCTGATTTTTGTGGCGGAGAGGATACAGATCTGCCAAATGCAACCAGCACTGCTGGTACCCTGCTGTGCATGACTTTATTGATGGCTAACTGGGTTGCCAGCTTCTTCTTTTTTTTTTGGCTGCCAGATGGGAGCAGTAGGCAATGAGATCACGAGTGACACTGTTGTGTGATATTTCTACAGTATATGGGCGTTTATATTACAGACAGAATATGTATAATTCTGATGTTAATACAGAATGAGGCAAGGAATATCAAAGAGGAGATGGGAAATTTCAGATATTAATGCAAACTGGTTAAATGGATAAGTTCACTCTGTCGTATCTACATGTTGTCACACTAGGCTCCTGCTGTTCTGATCCACATTGTACAGCCAGAAAAATACATATACTTGACACATGGTTAGGTCTAATTCACTCCGTAATGTGGTAATAATAAGATGGTACTTAAATTGTCCAATAACCACTAATAAAATGAAATAATAACAACTTCTAAACTGTAGCAGTTTAGCATTAATCATGAGACACAGCTGTGCTAATCATCCATCACTGGAAGAGCAACTGTAAAATTGTAAAAATTATTTTTTACTCAAACTTGCATAATAACGTTTTCAGTTATCAGAATTTGTTCTTACACAATTCTAACACATTATTCTATGGAATAATTTAATTCATTTGAATTAATATACATTTTCTATAGTCCAATCTCTCAATGGGAGTGATCATTGATCAATCTATGCGCTTCTCTTTGATATCCTACTAGCAATAATAGCTAGCAGGCTAACTAGAATCAGTAAACTAACACAAACATGGATACATTTTTTTACAAACTCATCAAATGCTGTCTTTCATTCTCCTCTTTTGTCCACACAGATAATTATGTTATACTGATCAGATAAATACTAAAAAGTCATTGGAGCTCCTCAGTGAATGTGCCGGAATTACTGAAGGAAGAAGAGAACAATGGTTAATATCCACATAATTGCAGGGCTAATTAATTATTCTTTTCCAGCATCTGGCCAGAACATGTGTCTACAGCTGGTTTTCAATCTGTCTTGAAAGCATAAATTCATTACATTTAAAACAATGTAACCAAACAGCACTATATAAAGAAAGGAGAAAACCTTAATAGTCTGACAGCATTAGAGTGCAGTAGAGGGTGCTAACAGACACAGTGGGTATTGATGTGTTATGTAGGCTTACTGATATTATACACCGTCACTTATTCATAGATACTATCATGTAGACATTCATAATATAGCTGTCGAGGCACTAAAAGCTGACCACTGAGTGTAAATGTGACAGCACTGCTGAAAACGTGTGGCAGCTGTAAGTGCTTCACGCCGGCAGAGTCACGCTGTTGATGTTCAGATTAGCGCTGAACTGGGGGCAGCTGATTCTAAAGGCAGAGAGCTGACTCATTAATGTGACCTGCAAGCAGCAGAGATGGATTCCCCTCGCAAGGCTTTGCATGGTCGCAGTACTGCTGTGTTACCCCAGAGACAGGAACAGAGAGCAGGTTTGGAGGGAGGTAAGTACAAATAATGTGCTCTCGTGTGATATTTGGTGGGGGTCTTCCAAAAAATATTCAGTGCAAGTATTTGTTTTAAACTAAATGATATTATAGCGTGATCTGGACATCTTATAAAGACGCTGATGTGACGTTAGGAATGTTAAGCATTTGATCATCCGTAATTTCCATAAATGTCGATTGGGGTTGGGGTCAGGTTAGTTGCCACTGGTTGAATTGCTACCTCTCCTTGGTCAGGGTGAAGTCACTTCAATGCAGTTGTCAAATATGGATTTTTCAGGGTGGTTTTCCATTTGTACTGTAAAATGCTGGCATCTATTATCTCATTCCAAGTGTTTCCTGTTGTTTCCCCTTGACACCCCATTAGTCTGGCAGGTTTTTCTTAAGAAATGTTACGTCTCTTATGATGAAGTTGCTTTTCTTTGCCTCAGTGAACAAAGCCTGATGAATTCAGGTTATCAGAGAAAAGCTTCAGGCCAGCAATAATTTGACAGTAATCAATCTGAATAATTTTACAAAAGCTTAACTTCTGAAACTTTCAATTAGTTCCGATGCCACGTTCACTATCCCAGTGGTCTCAGAAACGTTTGGGCGCATCCATATTTATAACAAAGCAATGACTGTAAGTGGATTACATTGACGAGCAAGTCTCTGATCATCCAAAACACCTGAATGTTATCCGAATGCTGCTTCAGTGGAAAAATGTACCTTTCGCACAAAGGACTTATTATGTTGAGTGTCACAAATTGGCTCAGAATCAGCTGGATAAGTGTTAGTCTTTGTAGTTTTTGAAACATTTATGCATCATTAAACTTCTCTATAATTCCAAGATTAACATTAAACTAGTTGGATTTATGATGTGAGTTAAGGATCTAACTAGGGCTGCCAC